CTATTTTCAACATATCTTACTATCAAAGCTATTGCTTCTGATTTCGAAACATCGTATGTGCCATCAACTATGATTGAAAAGCACCTGTTAAATGTAATCTCATTTTGAATTTTTTTTATAACCATATTTTTCATGGTTTCAATGAGAATGTTTATGTTATGATAATAGGTTTGAATATAATTTCGTTTTTAATCCCTTATTTTTTTTATCCTTTTTTCTTTCTTCATTTTGCTGTATATGCATTTTTATTATAGGTTCAGAATCTGCAATAAGCTTAATAAGGGCCATCATATTGCCTTCTTGTTGCCTGTTCCCCCAGAAGGCTTGGTTACGAGATATTTAATAAAATTTACTAAACATCGACCAAAATTTCCGTCAATATATTAAATTAAAAATTAAGTGGTGGGGAGGGGGGTCTTATTATAACATTTATAAACCAGAAATCACATGATCATAATGGATGTAAAAAAAAATTTTTTTTTATTAAAATAAAAAAATTTAAAAAAAAAAGTACCACCACTCAAATTTACTGAAGCAGTTGCTTCGGACCCCCCCCGTTGTAGGGGCCCCTAGTAACATGTATGGTGGCCAGCAGGGAATAACGATATTAAGAACTTTATAGGGACATGTAACGTATATCAAAGATAAGGAAATTCCCCCAAACCGATAAATCCAGGTTAATGTGGGAAAACCACTGATATAACTACACCTTGATTTTGCAGGATCATTTCAAGGAAAACTATGTTATTTATAGTTATTGTAAATAACAGAGATAAATTTAATCAGTTCCAACAAATAGTACGGGAATATAGTGCTTAACCAAATAATTTGAAAGATTAGCAATCTAGATTTATAATGAACCCAAGGAAAAACATTTAAAATTTTGTAATAACTCACTAATAAAACAATTTTAATCTTGCTATATCACCCGAGATCGAGCGGGGAAGTGTAATTTGTGCAAACTTTAAGTTCTCTTAGAAGCCTAACTTAAAAGAAGAAATAGACATATTTTTATTAGCTAACTCTTCACCAGAGCCTCATATATAGGCCCGTTAAATAAATTGTAAACACATTAGAAAAGGAGGAGGAAGATTATGTGGAAAGTAAAAAAGGTTTTGATATATAAGAAAAGTATGGACCCGAGATTTTCATGTAGAACCATGTTATATTCCATCAAAAGTTATATAACATCGGTTTTAAATTATATAGTAAAGGAGACAAAGAATTATGGAGGATATTCCGATTACTTACAGGGTCTCCCATTCAAAAAAAGTCCCAAACAAAAAAGGATAAGGTTCAATCATAAAAGGAAAAGTTTCAAACAAAAAAGGAAATGGTCCAATCAAAAAAGAAAGTGTCAATCAAAAAAGGAAAATCGTTACTTTTTAAAATAATTATAAATTATTTTCTTGTCAATTTTTCTTAAATTTTTAGCTTTTTTTATTTTATTTCTAACTTTTTCCGATTTTTAATCCTTATTTTTCATATCTTTTCTCAATTTATTTTTTACTTCACATTTTTGATAATTCATTTTTGTCTTTTTAATAATAATTTAATAATTTTCTTGTTATATTTCTTCAATTTACTCTATTTTATGCCTTCATCCTACATAACAATTTTTTGACTTTTTATGATAATTTTCTCATATTTTTATCTTTTATTTCACTTAATTTTTATTTCGCTTTTGCGATCAAATTTTATTAATATTTTTTGCATATCAAATTATTTCATTACAATTACGATGTAAATAATATGTCGTAATTTTTAAAGGCATCAGAACTATTCGGGATCATCATGGGATTTAAAAAGATCCCTTTAAGAATTCAAATTTTTAGAGGATAACAATCAATAGCTAATCAAAAGATTTATTCAAATGGAGATCAATCTCTCTCCTTTAATGGGCGAGTTTAGGCCTAGTGGGTCAGGAATTTTTCATCAAAACAAAGTATCGATATGGGTATCAAATAATAACTAATTTAAATATCTTTTGACTGAAAGTATTCATTCTTGGTCTTGATAGGTAGGAATTGGTCTGGGGGGTGGAGAGGAGAGGAGAGGGTAAAAAATAAAAAAATATTGATATAGATATCAAATAAAAGGTAATTAAAATATCTTATAATTGTAATAATAAGTATGCGGGTGGAAATAATTTTTATTTTTTACCCCCTCTCCATCTACCCCCCCCCCCCGGACCAAGTCTTACCTATCAAGACCAAGAATAAATACTAGCAATCGAAAGATATTTAAATTACCTATTATTTGATACCCATAACGATATTTTGTGTTGATAAAAATATTCCTGACCCCCCAAGATCTCAACCCGCCTACTTAGAGTGATAATTATTATTACAATCAAAAGATATTTTAATTACATTTTATTTGATATCTATATAAATATTTTTACCCCCCCCCCACATATAAATAATTTTAAAAAAAATTTCTAACCATAATGAACCTTTACAATTAGCTGAACCAACCCGAAACTTTATAACTTTTTCTTAAGAACCGTAACCATTATAATTTTTTGCACATTGAACAGTAACATAACTAAATCGTTATAAATAAAAGTTAGGGTCCCTGAAAATAACTTCATATTTAGACCCTCTATTAAGTTCTGTTAATTAATGAGAAATAATATGAGTAAAAATCAAAATTCTTTATAAAAATAATGGATGCTACCACATCTTCTTATTCCATAATTGGTTGCGATAATAATAATACAGTGAAACTAGTGTCATTATTAGATATACAATAAAAGTGGATAAACAAAGTAAGATTTTATTTATCTTTAATACATATTGAAATTAAATATGGACAAGTAATTATTAAGATTAAATCATGATTAAATAATAAAAAAAATTATATTGTAAATATATAATTTGTGATGAAAATAAAAATTATTTTATTATCTTTGAGAATGCTCAAGTAAGATTTTTGATCAAATTTTATCCAAAATTCTAAAACTTTTTTGTAAAAAGCCTTTTTAATATTTGAAAATTATCTAGAATTTCTTAAATGTAATCTATTTTGTTCCATTTATTTCGATAAAAATATGATAACACTAAAAACTTTTACAACAATTTTGATAATAAATATATAAATCTGCTTATACTATCAGCAATATAAGATTTGCAATCTAATTTTTAAATAATTTAAAATTTTCAAAAAATTCTTAGTTGCTTCAAAGCCATGCTTTAAATAATATCCTGATATTTACATTTTGTCGATATAGTTTGTTGTAATTTTTCAAAAATTACCTGATATTGACATTTTGTCGATGTAGTTTGTTGTAATTTTTCAAAAATTATAAATATATTTTTTTAATTTGAAAAATATAAATAGGAAGTTTTACTAGGAAGGCTAAGATAATAAGGTAAAAAAAAATAATTAAAATTTATCAAACCAATCCATTTGTTCCTCGAACACGATAATGGTTTTAGAATATAAAAGAGTTAAAATTAAAATTATTAATACAAATTAATTATGAGGATTACCTAATTAATCAGTTGTCCACGATAACTACCAAATAGCTTTGCATGTGATAAAAGTCAAATGCATGTATGAGCTGAATAATATTTCCAACAATTTCATCGCTTGAATTTGGTTCGGGATTGATTGCTCGATATTTATTTTTCAAAACTCACAAAAATTTTCGATAGGATTTAACTGAGGTGAATATGGTTATAGATATTCTTTCCTACTTTTATAAGCATCGATACGATGACTTCTATGGGTAGATACATTAACCATTATAATGATTGCATCCGGTGGTAAGATACTAATAAGCTCTTTAATGGGATCACGAAATAATAACCCTATAGGCTCCTTCGATTATTTTATAATGGATTACCCCTCCAATTCCAATTGTACAAAGTATGCTTACATTTTACCCTTGGAGGATGGGATTTTTATTATTGGCCGGATATTGAATGGCGCCCAGGCGTAGATTGGTACAACATGCAAGTTTATTCCAGTGTCATCTAAGAAATATAAGTTTTCTCTTGGTATTTAAGATCTTTACACAATAGATTAATATTAATTGCAACGGGAGTATTTCTATCAAGCTCTTTGCCAGCTCTATTTTCCAACCTATATTTTTGATATATTTACTAATGGTTATTTTCGTTTTTGGACTACCAGTGGGCAAATTTTCTATTTTCTTGTGGTTAGTAAGTTTGCTATTTTCCATTAATAAGCTAACGATGTATCTTTCAATTATGGAAATCTTTTTTCTTCCTCTTTTTTGAATAATGTATTCTTTTAGAGGATCTCCATTTATTTCTTGGAATGTGTCGCGTCTAAATTTATGAACCGATGCCGTATACATTTCAACGTATTTTGCGGTGTCTTTAATTTTCATTTATTGTTTTTTAGGCATTGATAACATTTTATTAACTATATCCAATTCTTTCTTGTTCCAATATTTGTGTATTCTTTTTGGTCTTTGAATTCTTGACGATTGGAAGTTTTCGTTTTCATTTTCATTTAAATTGGAAAAATTAGTATTACTATTGGATAATAAAATTTCTATATTAAACATTTTTTTGATTTATTTTAGAAAAATTTATAAATATTTTAACACAATTTTTTATTTTAAATTAAATTTCCAACATAATTTCTTTTTTTTTAAAATATAACGTTTAATCTTAACTAAATGCTTGATATTTAATTCAGTTTTATATTACTTACTTTGTCTACCCCATTTTATTGTATATACACTTGTTTAAATGAAAAAAAAATCTATTTTATTAATGTTATGCCAATATTTCTTTGTGCTCTCCAAATCCTGAACCCAAACCATTTTTTTATTTCCGAACAGGAACCCGAACCCTTGTTTTTAGATTATATTTAATAAATTTTAAATTTGGTAAGTGTCACATAAAGATAATGAATATCTAAAATTCATAATAGCTGTATTGGACCCGTAATTTCACTAACAAGAGAATAAATTTAAAATAGCTATTTTTGTAAAAAATTGATAAATGGAAAATAAATTTTACTTGGAGTTTTTCGAAAATCATAAGGCGCTCCTCTTATTGTTTTGCCTCGGATCAATCCCAGCGATACTAGTTTTTGAGTTATTGTGGCAAAATATCTACCTAAAATTAAATAACTTTCAACAAAAAGATTAGCAAAACTTGCTGACAGATCTTTTCGTTGGATCAAGCCATTCAATAGATGTGGTATTGCCAAAATTTGGAACCCTTATATTTACTCCAGGAGTATTGCTTGTTAGTCGAGTGTCATTGTCATAACCTAACCTTGTATTTTGGATAAATATTTTATTTTTTAAAAAAGCTAAAATATGTATATTACTTTACATTATCTACCCAACAATCAATAGCATAGGGCATGAGCAGCTCTAAATTTAGCCATATATTGTACCAACTTTCTGTATATTTTTCACATAAATATCTGGGAGAATAAGATTTATTTAATTTGGCCTCTAGGTGACTTCCACCATCGCCAGGAACTTTTAAATAATTATAAAATTATTATAATATTTTATACACTATTAAAACTATTAGGATAATGTAAAAAAAATTGTAGTTGTACATAAATAATATTCAAAAAATTCCCAATAAATTTATATAAATACCTTTTTATATTTCTTTTCAGGTATTTAGACCGTCTCCTGGTTCAATTTATTTTTAATGCTTATTTCTGTTTACTTTTGAACTAGCAAACTCTATTTAGGTTAGTTTTATGTATGTACAAACTAGTTTTTTTAAAAAAGAAGAATAGCCATTGGATAGTCAACTTTTTTCTAAGTGTGCCGCTTAAATCTAAATAGTGAACATTGAGTAAATAGTATATTTTTAAAAATCAAAATGTTGTTATATTCGATAATAAGAAATAAGTATAGTAAATAATATTTTTGTAAAGTTAAAGTTATCGCCGGGGTGGCGTAGTGGTGTATGCTTGGAAACCGAAGGTCCTAAGTTCAATCCTGGTAAGGAACTAAAAAATTTCAGGTTATTCTTCGAATGATAAGATAAATTTCTGAGCTGAAAAATGACACCCCGGTCACCGACAGGCTTCAACAGCCGGGTGTTAGGATACTTATCCAATAAACCAAATAAGATGGCCAGCTAAACTCGTGGGTCATTCAAGGATGAACGATCTCTTGGCTAGCGCTAGAATAATGGTGACCTGCAATGTATAACAAGCTATAAGGGATTTGATAATCCGGTGGGAGATCCATCAGGATTGATACTCCGGTGGAAGATCAAGCTTATGGAATCGATAAGAACGGTGGGCTATCTATCGATATTTTGATACTTCGATGTGAAATCAAGATAAAATGGCCTCGATAGCGATACTCCGGTGGGAGATACAAATGGAATCGATAAGAATACAGAAATATAAATTAGATAAAAATAGATAGCATGATTAATAAAGTGGAGAGAGATATTGAAGGAGCTTACCACCTGAAAAGGTGAAAGCTAAAAAGAAAAAAATTTTTTGCAAAGTTAATTTCTACGCTTAAACATTCATTGATGACTGCCTAGTAATCCGAAGATTTATGGTTCAAATCTAGATTGGCGAAAATGATTTTTTAAATGAATTTGATGCTTAATATGGGTGGGAACTGTAAGAAAAATTTATAGTGTTATTAATTAGAATTACCGGAGATATAATTTTGCAAAAAAATAACTATAACTAGTTACTTGAGAATATAATTAGTTGCATTTTTTTAAATATAATGACAAAATTAACTCGTTACTTTTCAGATTACTTTTTAAGATATTTTATTCATAATATTTATATGATGATATTACCAATTAAAAATGATCCTCAATTATATGCCTCCCTTACATGTCATTTTTATTTATTTTTGGAGAAAAATGAGAGCATCTTTATGTTAAGGTCAAATAAAAATTTATTACATATAAATTTAAATAAATATTATTTGTTATTTATATATATATCAATAAGATCAGGGATTCGAACCGAACCCGAACCCGGAGAAGTGAACCCGGGTTTTTAGAAAAAAACTCTGAACCCGAACCGAACCTGAACCCCATTTATAAAATTTTCAAAACCTTGAACCGAACCCAGGAATTTTATTTGAACCCGGGTTCAACCGGGTTCAGTGTATTATTTAAAATCATATATTAATATATATGTAAATACAAATATTATATTTTCAAATTTCCAATTAAATGAAGTGTTAATAAATTTTACAACTTAATTCATTTATGCCATTTTTAAATTTATTCTCGATTCCTATTGGAGTGTTAAAAAATTTTAAACAATTGAATTAATTTACGCCATTTATTTTTAAATTTTTATCTTATTATTCTTAAAGATTATTAATTAGAAGAAAATGGTTAACAAATCAAAGTAAAAATTATTATATTGTTAATTAAAAAAATTCTAAACATATAACTTAAAAATTGTTAAATGTAGGGCAGTTTTTGTGAACTTATTAAAATGATTTTAAAATTTATATATGCTAATCATTTATTTTTGGTTCAGATTAATTTTTACAAGATATTAATGAAGTGCATATTATAAATGAAATTTATAAATATCTCTTTTTTAATTCTGAAATCATTGCTATTTAAAAAAATTGTTCTCTTTTTATAGATTTAAGATTAAAGATAAAGTCATATTTGATAAGCATTTTACCCTTAATACAATAGAAAAAAAATCAATATGCTCATATTGCAAAGTAAAAATGTCTGGTAATCACTTGTCAAATTTAGAAAGACACCTGGAAAGAAATCACAACAATGAATATTTAAATTATTTAAATGAAAAAACCAAATATCAGGAATTGTTATTGGCAAAAAAACCTAAAATTAATATAGAAACCTTTTTTCCAAAAAAGCATATAAGTATAAATATATCATCTAATGATTTGATGAGTTCTATACTAGAACTTGTTACTGTAAATGGCTGGCCTTTATCAATTATTGAAGATTCGGGATTTCAAAGAATTATAAATCCACTCCTATCTGGGCTCAATTTAGTTATAAACAAAGAAAATTTATCCAGAACTATTAATAAAACAGCCCAATCAATTAGAGACAAAATAAAGAGAGAGGTAGAAGGAAAATTAATAAGTTTAAAAGTTGATGCAGTTCAACGACTAGATAGGTCAATTCTTGGTGTAAATATTCAATTTATATCAAAGTCCATTATAAATTTGAGGACTCTTGGAATTGTAGAGCTGAAAGAGAGATGTACAGGAGAATATATTAAAAACTTTACTAAAATTTAAAATTAATATTGAACAAATATACACAATTACTTCTGATAATGGTTATAATTTTTTAAGAGCTATAAAGCTCCTGCAACCTGAAACTGATTATGATATAAGGAGTGAATCAGCAGATGAGGAAATTATGGATATAAATGTATATAAATATGATATTGATGATATACAAAATACTTTTTTATCAACTATTATATCCTATCCGATTTATAGTGTACAGTGTGCAGCTCACACACTTCAGCTGGCACTTCAAGATGCTATAAAATTATCACCTATTGTGGAAACCATTGCAAAAGCTAGGAGCCTAAATTTAAAATTAAGACATCCCACTTACCAAAAGTTATTAAAAAATATGAAACTCCCTAAGCCTGTGTTAGATTGCCACAGATGCCATTCAACCCATGATATGTTAGAAAGGCTGATTTTACTAAAACCCAATATCGAAGATTTTTTTTCAGAGCAATCTGATTATTTATTGACTGAAGATTGGAAAGAGATAATAACGATTGTTGAAATTTTAAAACAGCTAAAAATCGCAACCAAACAATTTCAATCTGAACAGTTAACACTGACAGATTTTTATGCAGCATGGTTAAGATGCTGCATCGAACTGGAAAAAAATCCAAACCATTTTGCTCAATTACTATATTCTTGTCTTAAGAACAGAGAAGAAAGGTTTATAAAGAACGAAATTCTCTTAGCTGCCATATACCTGGACCCAAGATACAAGGTTAATTAAAAGCTTAGTAAATTAATTATTTTAGATTTATATTAAAATTGTTATTTTATGGAATATTTAAATATAAACAATATAAATCCTTAAATATTACAGGTATTACTTAGTGATGATGATAAGATTTGTGCGAAAAGGCATCTTGTCAATTTATGGAGACGAATTAAAAGCTTAACAACGCCGATTTTATCTGATGATATTAGTTCCGATGAAGTTATTGAACAAGAAGATGATTTAGAGAAATTGATACAACTTAAAGAAAGGCAGGAGAAAATACTTAAAAGAGGGCCAACGATTGCTGAGAAAAGTATTGGAACAATAATTACTGGATTTAGCGATTATAAAAGATTAGATAAGAAGGAAAATATTTTGCATTTTTGGGAGTCTGCTAAGCTGGAACACCCTGAATTATATATTTTATCTAAAATCTTATTTGCTGTTCCTGCAACCCAAGTTAATTTATCATATTTTCACATATAAATACATTTAACATAGGTTAGCGTTGAAAGATCTTTTTCACATTTGAAATTCATTCTTTCATCACATAGATCGAGGATGAGTGAACAACTCTTGGAAGATATTATGCTAATACGTCTAAATAAAATTTTTAAAATTGATACATGACTATATGCTTTGTATAACTATATTTGCCTATAAATAAATTAAAAAATTTATTTTTTATATCAAATTTATGTCTAGTTTTTTATTATGATTTAAATATAGAATTTTTTTTATCAACTCAAAAATTCTTGAACCCGAACCGAACCCGAACCAAACCCGGGCAAAAATTTTGTCGGGTTCGCATCCCTGAATAAGACTACATTTCTAGCCTTTGCACATAAATTTTTTCGTCTGCTTTTGTAATTTCCATATTTTAAAATAGGTGTATTTATAATTTAATAACTATCTAACCCTCATTTTCTTTAAATTTACCTTTCGGACTCACTTATTAATTATATTTATATAGTGTGTACTTGGTTTATTATACTGATACGACCAGTCTTATATTTAGAAAATTAAATGAGTGGCACACTTAAATCTAAAAAATCTTCATAAACCAGTTCAGACCGATCTTTAATTTGCATAAATTTGCTAATTTTTTTTAAAAAATTATCATTTTAAAAAAATTCGCGATATTAGAGGTGCACCGATACCACTTTTTACCGATAGCCTGACACTTAGAAAAAACAAACACAATAATTTATTAAGAAGATTTTATTTTTCTTGAATTATAAATGTAGTCTTCACTTAATATTGTTCAGATTTCGCGGTTCGTCAATGATAAAATAAAAATTATGAATTCGATATTTTTCGCGTAAGGCGCTATCAAGAAGAAAAATATATTACATTTCAAGGACTCTCTGCCATTATTAAATAATTTATTCAATTAAATTAATATTTGTTAAAAGTATGAATTAAGTATTTCAACCAGGGTTGCCAGATGTCATGATTTAGCTGTGATTCTCCCGATACCAAATTTTTTATTCAATTATGTTTTCTCACATTTCACGCTTGT